CCGCCCGCTGGCCCGCTACCGGGCCCGGTACCAGGATACCCGGCGTGCAGCGAGCCACCGTGCGGCGAGCCGTACACCAGTTGCCTTACTTTCTGCTCGTCGTCGGCGATGTTGTACGTCAGCTCGGTCTCCTCGAACCCGGTCGCTGACATCCTCTGGTCGCCCGACGAACCCGACGGCGGTGGATCCGGACTGTTCAGACACGTCTGGATTAACGCCTTCCCGGCATCGCTCGTGATCATTGGTTGCAGTTTGCGCGTCGCGAACGTGTACACGTGCCCGGTCTCGCTCGCCACCAGTAACATCACTTGCGTACCGGTCAGCGTCGACAACTCGTACGCCTAGAAATACGACATCGACAATTCGTTTATTAATTCTACGACAAACGCATTTACTTAGTTTACGTTCAGATATTTTCTGTTGTTACTTATTTATAGAACTCGCTCATTTAGGTTCTCCCTCCTCCAAAAGATTAGAGATTCTCAAGTAAGAGATTTAATCGTTTAGATTAACTTTCTGATTGATCCGTTATATTTTTTAGAATCTATACTTAAGATAGAATGAGACGCGTGGATATTTCATTCTATCTTAAATAGGTCCTCAAAAATATAACGGATCAAATGGATGACGTCCAATTTATTATTTGAAGAATTTCTAATAAAAAACACAAGGGTACTTATTTTACTAATGTATTGTAAACATAATCTGTTTTTTTTTTGTGATAATCTATTACTTTGTTGCGTGAGATATTCTTTTTGCATGTCACATTTTATTATCATTACGGTAAACTGTTGCAATATTCGATTCACGATATTCGATTCACGACAATATTAAAATATATTTTCCTTAGTTTTTAAATAAAATATTAAGTATTAATGATACCCATATCAACGTAAAACATCCAATATAAAAAATAACTTTGAGAAACAATATAAATGCAAGTAACGAAAACATATTGCCATTTAGATGACATTGCATGATTATCAAATAAACTTTTTAAAAGTAATACGATACACACACACACACACACACAAACACACACACACATATATTTGCAACGTTATATAAATACTTATAATGTTTATAAGAATCGATCAATGGTTTTTAAATACATTTTTAATGTATCATGAAGAGCAGCAAAAGAATATTGCTAATTTTTTTATATGACTATGTCTTTTCCAAATTATTTAAATTTTACTAAGAATTCTGACATCTTTATGCCAACAATTTCTATCATAAAGCAGAATATTATCAGTTTAATAAACACACAAAACACAAAATTAAATTGCTCGTAATATTAGCAGATTATAATCAATATTGTAATTAAATTTCAAGAATGTACATGATGAATATCATTAACGAGTCAAGTACATGGTGGTAATACATATACTTATATTGATATAAGCAATAATGTTATTATTTTCTTTGCTTTTAAATCATTTTACGAAAGCTGAAGCATTTTATGAAAGCTGAAATTCAAATTTCTTTCGAAAAGATAAGTCGTTTAACGTTTTCTTTGTTAAAACACAATTCAGATAATTTTTAAAACAATTAAAAATGTGTATACACGTTTTGACATGAATATCTAATTAAAATCTAAAAGTTAAAAAAAAAAGTAATACTTGATCAATTTTAGATGGTTACTCATCGTTTTTTATATGCACTTCATTAATTATACATGTTCTTTGTAAATATAGTTCCAATCGCGTGTCTTTAATTAAACATGAGATCATAAATTTAATCATTTCCGAAACGATGTGAATGAATTTAATTCAAAATTCTTGCCTAAACATACACACAATATAATTTTACATATTTTAGCGTTTTTGTCGATGTTATCCCGATGTTTTAATTTTTAATTTTATTTATAATACAATTCTTTAACATATATTCTTTAACATATATTCTATCTTTAACATATATTCTTCATAATATAATTTATTTCTTCATCTGCACAACTTAACATCTCATAAAAAATAATCAAAATAAAGAATGCAAAATTATTTCTTCAAGCATTTTTTAATGCAAATTGTGTCATTAATAAATCGATAAATTAATATATGTAATTTCAATACATATCCTAATTATTTATAAACGATCTCTAGATTACAAATATAAAAATGTTAAATAGTTTCACAATTTATATTATATCACTCTTATAACAAGTTTCTTTTCACTAAAGAAAAAGACATTTATTTAATATAATTAAGAACATAAATTGATATAAAGATAAAGTAACAAATTGGAAGGCGAAAGAAAAAGAGAGAACGCATTTCAGAATTAACAGTCGCCTTTCTGGTCTAGTCTACAAACAGCTAATTTTATTTAAATCTATTCATTCGAAAAATATATATACTACAAAAAGAGAGAAAGAAAGAAAGAAAAAAAAGATTAGTTTAATATTAATATAAATAAAATAAAATAAAAAGTTTAATATTACTCTTTTTTTTTTAAGGAACAGCACTCCGCGATCTCAACTTTTTATGTTTATAATTTTTCAAGCCATTCAGATATCTTCGAACGATATTATTGTCTAAAACGTGATTGATTTAATAACAAATTTAGTAATAATTTAATAACAATTTTTAATTATTATTTTAATTATATCACATAATTAAAAAATTTTAAACACGATAATTGACATTTCTTTATTTTGTGTGCTTATAAAATATATATATTTACCTACTTTTTAATTTGAGTAAAAAAATACGAGCAATCTTCATTATCTGTACACACATTGATTTTAACAATCAAAACGATCAATGGTAATTCGAGCTGAATTAATATTTGAATTAATATTTTAAATAACAAAACGTTAGTAAAGGAAAATTATATTATTAAAGTGTAGAAAAATATAATATAACTGTATTAAATCGTAAAAAAGTATATGAGACAATAGTTGACGAAGATATAAAAAATTATAAAAAAATTTGTCAGGATAATACAACAGAGAAGGAAAAGGACATATTTTATCGAGATTGTGACGAAAATAAAAAATCCTAATAATTATTTAAAAATTTATACGATTGCTACAATTTTGGGACCAACCAATTTTAATTCTCGCGAGAACTTTAATTTAGTACTTTACGTCGAAGGAAAGATTTTTTTTTTAACGAAGTAAAATTTTTATCATCATTTAGAAAATTTAAATTATATGAAACGCGTCCAGATATCTTGTATTTATCTATTATATTCATCCGGTTTTTTATCGGTAAAAACAGCAATTAATTTCGTCAATTCGAGATACAGTGACAAGATTTTGGCAATTTAATCTCGTATGAGATTCAATCGTGTTATCCTCTTCATGTCTTTAATAAAAGAAAATGAAGGAATTGGAGAGAGATTTGCTCTCCACTCTTGGGAGAGATTTGGATTACACTCTGTCTCCGACAGAGCGGTACAGAAAAAAGTAAATCGCTAACTAGCAGCTTCAAATGCAAGCAACCAGGTCTCTTTAGCAAAAGCATGTAAAAGCCGCGGAAGAGCGCGAGCGCGAGCACTGTCACTCGTAAATCGCGAGCGCGCACGCGCAGCATCCCGTCATCCCATTTCCCGACTCCCGTCGCTGTCGTCGCGACAATCGGAGAGAAAACGCACGTGAGACATTGTACTCCGATTGCTCCGAGTCTCGTCGACGTGGGTCGACTATTTTCACAGAGTTCGACGCGCGCGCATATACACATACACGCACACGCACATGCACATTCTCTTTTTGTTTTCTCTTTCTCTCCCTCTCTCAGAGCACTTGAAGTATCAAGAGTCAAGAGACGAGAGAGGTAGGTAGACGATGCTGTATCGAATCGAGTCACTGCGCCCTTCGCGCGGCGCGTAACGTAACGTTACACGGTAACAGAGACTAGAGAGCGAGAAGCCGGTACTCCGCCGTGCAATTACATCAGTGATCAGGTTTGCGTGGTATATACGCGATACAAACCTTCTTCATAATGCCAGTCTTCCTCTTGGAGAACGTGGTGTATCTCCGTAATTTATTGTCGATGTACTCCATCTTAATTTTCACCCGGCCCTTAGTCTTCTTGCCGTTCGAAGGGGGTGACTTCTTCGGCTGGCCTAGACTGGTGAAGGACTCGTCGAGATTGTCGGGGACGCAGTCGCCAGGCATGCCGCCGGCGGGCATACCCTGCGAGAGCGATTGCTGCCGTGAATTATTACCGTCGTCGCCGTAGCAGACGTCGGAGATGCTGCGCTTGATGCCCCGTTGAACGGGTCCGACGCCTGGCGTCGCGGCGCCCGCGGC